AGTCTGAGCCCTCCCACATCTCAATAATAGGAGGCATCAAGACATGGGCATTCTGGTAATTTCACTCACCTTCCCCATCCTCTTCCTCCACAGAGATCCATTGACTGGTCACCTTTGACCAGTCCCCAGAAGTACTGCTCACTGCACCCTACTGTCCATGACAGTTCTACCTTATATTAATGATATGATATCAATACACTTTCTCACACTTTCTCCCACTTTCCACCATAGCATGTGAATTACACTTCCCTTCTCTTCCTGAGTATTCCATGTATTTTTTGGGATTTTTGGTTTTCTCAAATCAAGAAGAGGGTAGGATTCATATTTTCTTGCCATGAGAGATCATATGCTTGCAGAATCTTTGTATATTATTATGCAACAATTCAATGCACTATATATCAAAGTTGAAAACTTTTTATGGACCCAGGTACTTATGAGTTTACCTACCACTTAAATTCAAAGAGATTTTTAAGGGTATGATAAAATGCATAATTAGTCCATAAATAACACAAATTGTTCACAGCATTACAGCAATTAGCTTATATTATCAAAGATGGTTTAAAGCACATGACATGAAAGAGATCACAAAGCTAAAGATATATAATTAGAATGATCTTTAATGGAAATAAAGCACAAGCATGAATGGGGTTTACCAATTGTTATGTACATTGAGCTCTCTGAATGTTCTGAAGATGGGAATGGATAGAGTGTTGTTGTTTCTTGAGTCATTTTGGAGCAGATTGGTTATTGTGGGAAGCTAAAGCAAGGATGGAATTGGCAAGCTTGTTGACGGCATCAACCAAGCCATTAATGCCTTCCCTGCTGATCTCTATCTTGGATTCTTCAATCCTGATTCTTCTCTCATGCATGCTTAAAAGATCTCTGTGTCTTCTTTCTTCTCTCTCCTGGCAGGCGTGGAGGGCTTCTGCTATAATGGAAGCACTTTTCGAGATGGCAGTGCCCACTTCATGGGTGGTGCCTGCTGCTGCAGTAGCAGCCGTACTAGTGCCTTCCCCATTACCTCCTTTTCTTCTTCTCTTTGCTGGTGAGTCCGAGTACTCATTTGTATCAGAATCTGAGCTATCACACACCTCCAAACCATAAACATAAGGAACCAAAACCAATCAATATTAACTGAATTTATGGCTCATAAACATAAGCATCAACATATTGATTAGTTCATTGAAGTACAATGCGGTGGAACAAAGTTAAATCAACTCTGTTATGTGCACATGGATGATGAGACATGACTAAAATTATTGTTGTGAACAATAAATAAATAAGGAGAAGACAGAATTAATGGCATTCAGAAAATGGTAACACAATGTTTAATTGGCTAATACTAGAATGAACATAATGCAAAAGAGAAAGTACCTACTGTGGGCAAAGGATGAGAGTATGGAAGAGGAACTGGTTGTGCTTGTGGTGGTACCAAGGCAACTGTCACGGCTGGTTGTGGTGGTGGTGGTGGTGGAGCTGGAAGTGGCAAAACCACCGCAGGAATAGGAACCGAGATTTGATGTTGCAATAGAGGAGACGGTGAAGGTTGAACATTTCTCATGGGTCTTTCCTTAACAAATCCAATGTTGGGATTGGTACCTGACCCAACAGCTCCAATCGCCACCCTTTGACCCCCTTTCATCTCCACCACCTCCACCAAAGCTTCATATATCTGAGGCAACATGTTGCTTGGCAAGTTCTTCTCCTTCCTTTCATTTTTCTCCATCTTCCAATAAGAACCACCATCATTCCCTTCTTTTCTCTCAGATATTCTCTTTTCATACTCCCTTACTTTCTTGTAATCCCTCATGAGATTATCCCACTTGTCATTACACTGGTTCTGGCTCCTAAAACACTCCTTTCTCCAACAATAGTCCTCCACCCATTTCCATCTCAGCTCTGTTGGCTTGCTCCTCCCTTCCCCTTCCCCCGTCCTCTTCATTCTTCTCTCATCATCCATCCTCTTTGCCTCAATCAATACCATTGTCTCACTCAATGTCCAGTTACCTTTCCTGTATTCCCTAATTACACTTTTACCTCCTTGATCAGCCATTACCAATTCCATGAAACAACCTAGCAGAAGAGCATAGATAGACAGAGGAGAGAATGAAAAAAGAAGGGGGGAAGAGGGAGACAGGTGGTAGGTCCAAATGGGTCTACCATCAATATTTGAGTTTTTTGCTTACTTCTTGGAGACTTGATTTGATGTGGGTTTCAAAGCAGTCGAATCTCACTAAGATTGCTAATTTAGGCAAATGAAATTAATGGGATTCTGCCAAAACAAAGGATCAGTAGCTTGATAAACAACACTCTAAGACAAATAGGTACGGCCTGTTCTATGGTTTTTGAGGTTTAAGAAGAGGATTGCACTTGTGCACAGTGCACACAAATGATTAACCAGAGAGAAGAAACAATAAAGAAGCAATAAAGAAGTATCATCAAAAAAAAAAAAAAAACAATAAAGAAGCAAAGTTTCTTTCTCTTTTCTCCAATTCCTTAAAATTTTCAGCCTCTTGGATGCCCTTTTCTTTTGATCTGCCCGACACACTTTCCTTAGAAATCTTCAAAAAAATCTTCAAAGTTGAAAGTAGAAATCTAAAACTACTTATTCAAATCACTGCTCCCTACAAAGTGAGGGGAAAACACCCATGAGAGAGAGAGAGAGAGAGTTATCAAGTGTACCATTATAAGAAAAGGCCAAGTAAATCCATTCAAACTGACATATCAACAAGCCCCAAAAAATTTTCAGGGAAAAAGAGAAAGAGAGAAAGAGGGAGGGACTTCTTTCTCTAGGAAAGGTAGATTGAAAAAGAAAAAAGATGGTAGTGTCAACATGACTTCCACACACATGTGGCTTAGTCACCAATCATCATACCCTTTTTTAATTTATTCTCAGCTTTATGATCAAAAAATTCAAACACATAAACTGGAAAAGAAGAAGAACATTTGAACCCGTTTAATATCACATATAGCATTTGACTTTCTTAAACAAAACTTTTCCAATCTGGATAGCCTAACAACTAGATCACAATAACTTTAAGTTTAAGGTTTTAGATTTAGGAAATGATACCTTGTAAAGTTATTTATTTCGTTACATATTGATGATTTTTGTTATTTGTGTGTTAAAATTAATAGTTTCTATTACTTTTATTGTTAAACTTGATAATTTCTATTATTTATTCTGTTAAAATCGATGAGTTTTCGTTATGTACTAACAAAATTAAATATATAACTTTATATGATATATATATCATTATTCTTTATGTTTAAATCAATCAATTTAATAGAATGTACCAAGTTTGAGATTTTAAATTTAAATGGTTTTCCATGATCGTACTCTATACACAAGATCATGCAACAGTGTGCATGATGGGGCACAAAACACCATATTCAACCCTTGATTGTGATCATGCAGAAGAGATCTACATAAAAAGAAGAAAATAACATGACACAAGAGCACCTTAATCATTTGGTTAGTCTCCTAATTCCATGCCACCACGCAGGAATGTTTCCATACTTTATATGGGAAACCCTTAACTTGCGTTTTATTTACAGAAATGCCACAAGTTTGGATGTTGTGGAGGTGAAGGGGACAGGTTTGTCTTTTTGGGATAAACAGATGTCAAATTCGTCTTTTTGGGGCAGGACATTTAAAGCTCGGTACCAAATCAGCAAACTTTTTTCTTCACTTTTGTCTAACTGCCAGCTAGGACATGAGGTGTACCAAGTGGCAGAGTCACTTTGACTAGGGTTTTGACCAGAGAGGACTAAAGCCCATGGGGTCCTGAAAGGCTGAAACCCTGATCAGTCCCTCTCGTTCTAAGTTTTTGGACTCTAGCCTGCACTTTTAGCTACAAATTCCCAGGGTAAATTCGTTAATTTGGTTCATGCTTAATTCTCTTCTTTTACTAGTCTTCGTTTTTTTTTTTTTTTTTTTTTTTTTTTTTTTTTCTTCTCAAACAATTTGATTTTATAATTTCAACTATATTAAACAATAAAATAAAAATTATTAAATAAAAAAGATCTTTAATACTAGAGATTTAACTCTCATCCAATAATTAATATATTGCAATCCAAACACATTTTTTTGTATTTTCTATAAACTCATTCAATTTCTTTATTTTTATGAATTTTTTAAAACACAAGTCAAGAATATAATTATTATATTTTAAATATTAATTAATATTAAAATATATAGAAAAACTATCACTAATTTCACCGTGAGTAGCACCTGGATCACTTTAATTGAGTAATTACTTAAATAAGAGTCAATTTTTATTTTTTTATTATTAATTAATATTGAAAAAAATAATAATGGCACTTTTAAAGCAACATATTAAAAAAAAAATCTTACTTTTTTATAGGTATCGGTTTTTATTATTACTAAGTTAAAAAAAATTGGAATTAATTAGTTTTCTTATTTTAAAATCCATGCCAAGTTAGTAAGCTTTTGTATTGAAGTAGCAAAAGGCAGTTCACCAACAGACTTGTTGGTCCGACTGGAAGAAACTCGATCCTCCTTTAATAAGGTCTCGAGTTTGAGTCTTGTGAATGGAGAAACAGGCACTTGGAGAGCTTCCCCCTAATGGGATCCAACACGGGTCGATTTCAGATTAGTTGAGATCCAAAGTGATTACCGAATATTGAAAAGTTAATAATAAAAAAAAAGGAGGCACTTCGAAATCAGACGCACATTAAAATTAATTAGGTGGTACATTAAGAGAATGAATTTTTATCTGCTGTAGAAATGCTTTAAATACTTGCATTAAAACACTCTGAAAAATGAAACAAAAAGAGCCTGGGCATTAAATTTGTTGAAGGACTGAGAGTGTCAGATTCAATTTTGGAACGTGATGAGGATAGAAACAAGGTTGTGAAATGTCCACACCAGATATCAGACCCAGACATCCAAACATAACAGTTCCATTAATAAAACAAACATTTATTGCAAGCAGGGACCATCCCATTGATTTGCCACCATGATCTATGGATGGAACCCTGAATGCCTTAAATAAACCCATTGTATGTACTTCAAGATTCAATACCCCCTTGGTCACAAGCCAAATTCATGTCAAGACCGACAAGTGCTGCATGATCATATCACCTAGCCCTTCCCCTTTCATATAAACATAACTAGGCAAATTTGCAGATTAAAAAAGGCTGGACTGTTGATAGAAATGCCAGACAGCACCGAGTTTTCTAAGCATTCTGCCCCTAGGTAGCTGTCCTAATTGGTTGCCTTTTTATTTTGCTTACTTATATAGGTATTAAGATTCTTCGGGTGGTTTTGTAATATTTAACATAAATATGCTTATAGTCCTCTACCATTATCAAAAAAGCCTGTGACAGTGGAAAACATGCAAGGAGAAGGTTCAAGATTTAATCACTCAATTGTGTCACAATCATATAAGTCATCTTAGAAGTCGGAACTTTATCTAAAAAGGAAGTAGAGGTTAACCTGAAGAAAATATTAACACATGAAGATGTTGAACTCTAGGGGAAGAGAAGCCTATGCTTTGCAAAAAAGTTGGTGAGAAAACCAGTTTGTTCCATCCAGTGTTTCCACCCTTTCCAGACTTAGAAGGTCCAGCTCCTGATGTGGATGGGGGTTCCCACTTCTTTGTCCGCCCAGGATGTCTAGGTACCAACTCTGCAACATGAACCATCAGCTGTTTCCCTGCAATGAATCAAGCAAAAATAAACATACATTTCATTTTGATTTTAGGATGTTGAATCAATAAAATGTTGACATTGCAACCATGCCTGGATGATCCCTGGACCAGCAACAGAACAATAATTACCACTCCACCCAAACACAATGGCATTCTATCACGTAAAAATCTCTGTCAGCTTCAATAACCACCTCATTAACAAAGGTATTATATCAAATACGCAACTCTTATGAAATTATTACTCTATAATTAGGCTCTGAAGACACATGAAGGAAATTTTAAAAAATATCCTTACTGGAAGTTGAAGAAATGGCTGGATTGTATAAAGTCCCATCTTCCTTCTTCAGTAGCACCCTCACCATCCCTCTTTGCATTAAATCAAAGGGGTATGCCTTATCAATCTACAAGAGTGAAAAAGTCACAGGTCATAATTGCCAGCTACCGCTAGTTTGTTTAACTATTAGCAATAACTAGGAATGCACCAAAACTGAGGTGAGAAGAAAAGTTTCAATGTATGGTTTTCTGGTTCTTGTAGCACCTGGAATAGAAGATAGCTAAGATTTTTTTTTTTTTTCTTTTTTTACAAGAAGCAGAAGAATTTGGATAGCAAAAATCTCTCTAAAGTCTAAGAGGTAGCCGTCATTCAAGATTTCATTCTTACAAACTAAATTGAATGCTGAAAAATAGTTTTGAGAAAAAATCATAGGTGGTATATCACAAATAAAAATTAGAAAAGAAAGTTGAAGAAGACACAACAGGGTTATACACCATAAATGTAAAGCACTGCAATTGGCAATACTTTAGGGACTCAAGGTACAGTGGCACCAAAAGAGCCATTTTTACAGGCTGGAAACTTGCAGGAAAGAACCAGCTCAATGGATTTGTGTCCACAGAATCTTAAAAGCTACTGATAAGTGGCATCTAAAGGAGAGTCAGTGATTGCAGCAAAGTGGTTGCATTGATATCAAGTAAGTCAATTTATGTGTCGCAAAGGACAATTATGATTGTAAGGAATTTGAATAACAAAATTTGTGATCATGCTTTCAAAGAAAGTCATACCACAGCTGGTTTTTAGCCAGTCATCAAGCATGGTAATATTTACACTCTTTTCCTCACAGAAAAAGCTTTTACAGCAGGACTCTACTTCACATGTGCATAAAATAATGGAGACCAAGTTGTTTCAACAACATTGCAAATTAGATGAGAACTAACCTCAATGGAAAATGGGAGTTTCAGGTAGCCGCAGCAATAGCCAATTTCAGCACAAGTGGGGTTCTCACATGATTTGCTTTTGCTAAGGCCTATTCTCCTCCCCTCAGCAACTGTTTTCTTCGAGTTTATATAACAGGATAGAAAACTATCCATTTCTTTACGTTAGGAACTTCTCCAATCATTTCTCCTCCCAAACACACAACAACATCACACAATTCATCCTCTCCCATCAATGTGGCTGATTCTAACATGTTAAACACAATAAGAAACAACTATAACTGTCAAATTCAGCATAACTTAGATTTTACAGCAGCAACATGAATCTTCACTACGAAAGCAGCAATCAAAAACACAATCCTTAACCATTTTGAAATTCAAAGCAGCAATAATAAACAGGAAAATCCTTCATTTTTTGCATCATGAATTTCACCTAACAAATAAACCATGGATTTTTGTGCTCAAATCTCATCAATTTACAGCTAAAACAACAAAATATAGAAAATTGTACCATGTCAAGGAAATCTCCAAATCAGCTTCTGGATTCAATCGCAGATGAAATCTTGAAATCGGTATGAAATTCTAGCAAGATTTCAGTGGAGAAAAGAGGGAACACTCGGATCGGGTTAAACCATTTTTTTGGTAGTACTCCGATCGGGTTGAACCGAACGGAAGGATGACTTCTCAGGTGGATCCAATATTGATGGGCTTTCTAGAGCATGTCAGGCTCCATGGGCTTTAACATGGTTTCCATGAATGATGAGCTTTTCGCGGCTCCCAGCCTCCCTTTGTGCAGCCTCAGATTAGATTTCGTTTAACACTGTTTTACTTTTTAATTTCTACTTTTTTTTTTAAATTATTTTAACAATATATAAAATATTAATTAAAATAAATATTAAATATAT